ACGTACTTCCACCTGTGAGGAGTGTCCGATAGAGCGTCGTTGATCAGGATGAGGAAGCACAGTGGTCCCATCTTGGTCCCCTGGGGAACACCGCAGGTGAGGTGTTGGAATGTGGAGACCGAGCCCTGATACCTCACTGCCTGACGACGTCCACTTAAGAAATCAGTGAGCCATGAGACCAGGTTGGTGGGCAGCCCTAGTGCAATGGCCTTGTTGATAACAGTGCAGTGATCAACCAGGTCAAAGGCCTTCCTGAAGTCAACAAGGGCAACGGCCAGTGATGTCTTTCGGTTCTGCAGGTTTTTGTGCAGAAAATCCAGAAAGCTCACTAAGCAGTGTGATGTAGAGGAGGTCCTCATATTGCCAAATTGCTGTGGATCAATTGACTGATAGATTCTGGCAAATGCCCACTCAAAAACAAAGTCCACAGAGTAGACTGGGTATGGGGGTAATGGCAACTGGCCTGAGGTCATTAGGGGACTGTGGGGTGGTGACCTTGTAGATAGGGGTGACAAATGCGGTTTTCCATTCATTAGGGCATTTGCTTTGTCTGAGGGATGCATTAATAATAGAACAGAGGGGGGTGGCAAGTTCGACTGCAAATTCTTTGTATATTTTGATTGGGGTCGTGGAGCATTTGGATTTAAATTTCCGGAGTTTGTTGGCGATTTCATATGGTTGAACACTGGGAGGGGAAACGTAAGTAAGCCGGGAGGAGAGTGAGGTCAAGACTGGGTAAGGTATGACATGGTAGCAAAATGGTTATTAATTATCTCAGCTGCCTCCTCACTAGGTAAATGTGAGATGAAAGGAAGTGCTGGAGACTGACGGTTGAGACCACAGAGATCTTTAACCTTGGAGTACCACTGACCGATGCCGACTTCCTTGAGGCCGTGCACTTTCCTGGGATAATAAGTCTTCTTGGCAGACTTGATTTCCCTGATGACCTGGTTATATAGACTTTTGTACAGACGGTTGTTGGTGTAGTATGCCTTGTTGCGCTGCTCAATAAGTCTTTTTATGCGGGGCGTAATCCACGGGACATCATCGGGGTGGATCCTCAGTGTCTTGGCTGGAAAGAAGTGGTGGTAGGCTTTGGTGATAGTGTCCCACTTGTTATGCACATCGTCTACCGTGATCACTTCAGTCCAGGGATACCGGGTTATCCATTGTCCGAAACGCCGCATAGCAGAGTCGGGGTGGGTCATTAAGTCCTGGTGGGAACTGGTGGTCTTGAGAAGGTAGGGGTAGGTGACCACAGTAGGGACAGGTGGGGGTTGGGGGGAAGGTAGTGGTTACCGAGATCAGTCATAATGAGGTCCAGGGTGGCATTGCCATGTGTGGGAAAGTCAACTATTTGTGTAAGGTGGAGGTGTTGGGTGATGTCACTGATGTCTAACTCATTAAAGTCACTGCATATCACTAGTTTAGCACATGGAAATCTGGATCTCAGGGAGTCAGCAGTGTCTATTATATGAGTAATCAGTACATTGGCGGTTGGTGCGCGGGGGGGATGATAGCAAACACAGACAATGAGGGAGGCAGGCTGGCGGGGGTGGGAGGTGGGAGTGACCTGGACCCACAAGGCATCTACATCTTTAGGTACATTAACACCTAGGGGTGATGGTTTGAGGTCACTGCGACAGTTCAGAACTACACCCCCACCTCTCCTGTCCTTTCTAAGGTGGTGAAATAACTCATAGTTTTCTATGGCACATATCTCAGGAACAATTTGCCACGCCTCGGTAATCGCCACAATACCTGCACCAACTGACTTCACTGTGACACTGACCTCCTCCACCTTGTTGCATAAATATGTGACATTGGACAGCAGTAGGGATGGTAGGCTGTACGTTAGTAGAAAAGCTGGGTCGGCACACGTGGATGGCGGCTGGTTCCGAGGCAGAGAGCAGATTAGTTGCCCACCGGTAAATCACTTTCACTGTCACTATCACTGACTTGGGCTGGCTGTGGTGGGTTAACTTAATAAAGATTCAAAATTTATTCACGAATAAAATTTTCGTCATCAAAGGATTAATAAATGAATAGTCAAATAAACTCTAGTGTGTTTCATGACTGCTTTGTGTGTATAAAAATAAGCTAAAGAATTTGTCACCTGATAATGCATCTTGTATTATCGTCCATTGTTATGGGGGCTGTTAGTGATAGCTGCTAAGATAACCTGTTGCTGTGACGCATTTCGTTTGTCAACAGTGTGTGTGCCTCGAGACGCGTATTTAACCTCGGTAGATCATCCTACAACACAGGTATTGTACCACTGCTATGTGGACATTTTTGTTAAGATGTGCGCATTGGCAAACTCTGTTGAAATTTTAATTCCACGCGTTGTTTTTGTCACTCCCGTCTGCATCCTGTAGTTTTGGTTCAGTTGAAATCGTATCCTGTCACTGTCTATATCTACACACGTATACATTTATCGGTCGAAATTTTCAGCTTACACACTTGCTTATATGTGTACATAAGTTTCATTTCACGTTGGTCGAATTTATACAGTTTTTTGCATTTGAAATTAGGCTTGTCTGTTAATTCGTATGACCCAAGACTGTATAAATTACTCGCGCCTGTAAACCAATTTACCAAACGAGGATAGGATCGAAATTGCCACTTTGCCTTTTAAAAACAGTCTCATGGAGCACCCTAGACACCCAATCATAATGACCCAGGCGTTGACGACCAGAAAGAGAAAACCAAACCAATGCAAGACCACCACCACGTTGAACATAGTAAAGGGATAAAGTCTATCGAGCACAAAATTATGGCAAGGAGGAGGGTAAGGAACAATCTGAACTGCGGAATACGTATTATAAGTTACCGCCCGCTGCAATCTTACGCCACTGAACTACTTCTGAACAATAGACGACACGAACCATTCAGACTAAATAATCCTGGGTGAGGTTTGGTTAGATTGTTTACGTTAGGTTGGGTTATGTTAATTAAGTTTGGTTTGGTTAAAACATTCATCTGTTGTTAGTGTAGTACCATAGCATAGAGGACCAAGTACTCTGGCGAGGTCTCACTCTGGCACCGTAACAGTTTACAGCGTATTTAATATGTAAACTTTGAGTGTTATATAAACTAAATATATGTGCTTCGGGAGGTATTGATTTATATTTATTTATTTTATTTTATTTTTTCTAAAGATTTTCTATTCTAAATAAATGTCTAAGAATTATGGAATCTCATGAAGGTTAGGAGATTTAGCTTATTTCACCCGATAATTAAACACCCCCCTATTGTTAACCTTTCCAACTTACCCCCCCACCCCCCGCCATTTAATGTCGGGGAGTACATCAGGTGATATAAGCGGGGGTTCCTAATCTTTACGAGATATGTTGCGCACGACGATTAGGAACAAAATAATCCTGTTTTTGTTGTGTTTTTTCATTCAAAGTTATTCTAGAAAATTTTGAGTAGATGACGTCATACTTGGCTGCTATATGGCAGCAGGGTCTACCATTATACAACACTTTGTTTCCAATATCTTCCCAGGCGGTAGTAACTCCCAGTTTGATAGCTGCCTACTACCTATTACAACCCTGTATAAGATAGTCCCCTACACTATATGGAATTTAACTGTATGGAATTTGAATTTAAATTTGACTATATGAAACACGAAAAATAAAAAATAAAATGATTTTTTGTGCGATAAATAGTGAAGAGACAGATAAACTACCATTGATAACACAAGGACTAGAAGCACAGTATCTCCAACATATGTTTATCTAGGATTCTAGGTGCTTGGTTCACTGATAGTGATAATGGAGTAGTGTTACACTATTGAAATTACATGAGACGAGTAGTGAAATGGCTGTGAATTAGTTTTCTGTTTTTTGTGTAGTAGTAGTAATGTAGAGAAGAGAACCGATAGGCTCTGAAGATGCAAGAGGTGTAGGAGGAAGGTAAAGTTAGTAAGTGGGAAATAGAGTGGGAGACTGAAGGTGCGTTATCTACCTTGCGGGGTTTTTGTGCAGCAAGTACGGGAATCCCTTTTGTAGATAAACGTTAGGTGTTCGAGTCTGTAATGACATCATCCTTCCTGTATAGCTCCCAAACCTGGCTAATAGGTAACCCAAAAGATATAATTACTCAGTACAACGAATTGGTTAAATGTCTTCTTGGTGTCAGAAAGAACATCGCCATTATCCAATGCCAAACTACGCCAGGAATTCCCCCAGTGCAGGATGTTATAGTGAGGAGGAGGCGGAGCTTAGGATCGTAGCCTCGTACGCCAGATACAGAGGAACCATTCGATGTTTGTTATGAAGTGTCAGGTCAGGTATGGGTAGGCCTATAATTCTTTCTTTGATTTCCTGGTCGTCAACATCGATGACCGTAGTCTTGCAAGTTTTTCCTCTTCCTCTTGTTCTTCGTTTGTTTCTTCTGTACTTCCCCATTTCTTCTTGTTCTCGCCGTACTAGTGGCTGTTGATTTTCTTGTTCTGGGTCTTCTTTCTTGTTAGTTATCCTCAATTGAAGGAGCGCATCCTTGTAGTTGAGGTTCTATGAGTGTTTTACCTTGGTGATCCTACACTCTTCCCTCCATTTGGGACACTCCCGGTCGGAGGATGAGTGAGGAACGCCACATGCCGCACATTATGTTTCTCAGTCTTGCAGTTCTTTTTACTGTATGTTTCGGTGATTTCCCCCAGCACCTACCCCAGAATACTACATAATCACGATAATGCAAAAGGCGAACAAGGAACAATGGCGTTGATTCATAAAAGGATTAACACATAACATGACAGTTGGCATTAAACATTACAGAAGCTGGATAATGAACATAATAACCAACAGAAAAATTACATGAAAGTTAATTGTGGAATCGGGAATAACCATGAACCCGTAACTTATTGGTGTTCTAAACCTGTCGAACAATTCAATTATTTTATACTGTTAAGGTGTGTGTGTGTGTGTGAACTTTTCGTTGTTCTTGTATTCTCAATATTGGTGTTGATGCCATAACACAATAATTATATTCAGCAGTGACAGTCGTGGGTGTGAGTGAGGAGATGCAGGTGTTTGTGTTGGTGGTGGCGGCGGCAGTGTTGGCCGCCCGGGTCACCGCAGCTCCCCAAACTGTCTTACCTGTCGTGGACTCTCCAGAGACACACCTCTTCAAGTCCCTCACTCCTGTTGGTATGTGTATTGTAATCTCTTAACTCATGTTTTGAAATGTATTATTTGTTCTATCTGTAAACACACTCCGATCAACAAGATTATCTTTCCAATACACTTATTACATTATCATTACCTGCATTATCTGTCCTTTCATCAGATGCTGAGGTAGAAGATGCAACATTTTATATCACGTCTAGAAAATAAATATATCGATAAAAGTTTACCCGAGATTGTGTGTATACCTGTATATGACATCACTTCTTTACATATTCTTTATCTATCAGCTAGTTTATAAAATGATTACTTTTGGCACCATCGTAATGAGTACCGCTGACACAACTGTGGAGGTATAGTGAGAATTTATATTAAGAGTGTCTGCAAAGTGAGGAAAACCGTAGCGTGGTCATGTGGGTGAGTCATGACAAAATATGCCTTGGGGAGAACTTCTAAAAGGCAGTGTTATTTATTTGGTTAACTAAATGAACACTGCTGATTACTCCTCAAGGGAAACTTGCACTAGATAAAATATGGTGTCGTTACTAATGAACAGATTACACTATGATTAGGACCGAACAGTTTACTCCTAGACGCACAACATGACACAGTAGTTCACTCTAGTCTAGGATCTCTGTGGGAGTCTCGGGACCTTGTCTAGTTTGCTTGCTAATTGCTGCTATCTTTATATTTTTTTTTAATAATTCCTATAAACACTGTACGTTCGTTTAGTAAAGTATATAGCTGTATATTGTGGTAACCCTCAGAGCGGCAGGTGATGGTGCAGATGGCTCTCTCCCAATCCAGCACTCCCAACGCCCGGATGATGGTGGATAAACCATCGACTTTTCCACACGTAAGTATCTACCGCTCTTCACATTACGCTTCTGTTTATTCTATCATAATCGCTTCCTCTTCATCCCAGAAAACGCTATAAAAAAGTTGGAGAACCAGAAAATTAACCCCCCCCCCCATCCCACCTTATTTTTCCTGATGAATAAGGACCCTAACGCTACCTTGTGAGTTTAATAGTTTAGTTTAGTTTATTACTCAACAATGCTTCCACCCCCTCCGCCCCCCTGTTGTTGTTCCTTTGGCATTTGTCATTTTTTTTCGCACAAGACCCGGCCATTTAAGTTCCTCTCACTCATCAGATACAATAAGAGGTCTGAACTTTTGATATTTTGCATAAGAGAAGTCATTTTTTCAACAGTATTTAGCTAATCGGTCCTTTTCCTACTTAACTTAAGGTGACTGAAACAAAATCAAATATATATCTATTTATCTTCTATTCATTGTACTTCTTTTATTCTTGCTGCAGTAATTGATGTGTCCTGATATGGTACATCCCCCCCCCTCCCCCCACCCCTCCGAAATGACTTAGGATACCCTTCGTCTCTTCACAGCAGCACGTTCTTCCCCCAAATATTTACTCGACGTTATGCTCCTCACTCCTTACTGCTGCTCCTCCTTACTTCCACTGCTTCCTTCATCCACCATTTTATATTCTTGGTTTTCCCTTTTCCTCCACCTTCTTACAAGTATTTTGATTTTGTTTTATAAATACTCGTATATCTCATTGTTTTAAGTATGTTATTTAAAATAGTGTATTGCTTTCTTATTGTAAAACGAATTCTTAAGTGTTAAAACAACGTAATTTTGGTATTGTTGTAAGTACTAACTTTTACTTACTTACGGGAACTAATAAGAGTATGTATCATTTGACTTCCCGAATTTCATGACGAACTCCTTCAGGGTGATAACAAGCTGGTGACCTTGGCGACAGCTCTACGACTGTGGCTCAGAGCCAGTTGGCAGTTGACACCAGAACAGATGAAAGAAATCTTAGAGACGGGCAAACTCTGCAATGATGATGGAAAGTGTATTGACTTCAACGTTGACTGGAGCCACAACTGTTGCCCCTTTGGTTAGTAAACAAATTGCTCATCAAGGAATGTTTTATGGTGTTTACAACTATAGGTGGTAATTTGAATAAAGAAACCAACTAAATATGTTGTATCATATCTCACCCTTACGACAGCCTTCTCTGAGTGGTTAGCGAAGGTGATTCGTGTTGGGTAAGAGACCGAGTGTTTCAGGTAGAATTGTACTAATTAAAGCCTCTGTATTACGTGGAGCCACCAGAAGAATGTCTAGACGCTGCTACTTGTGGAAGGAATGGAGAAGCTCAACTAAAAGAAAACTGGTGCAATGCAAGACATACTGGGAGAACATTATGACAGTGAGTGTGTTTGGTAAATGAGGTTCTATGCTCATGATAACAACAACAGGAAATCCCCCGTCTGGTATGTGGGAAAAGGCTGTCAAGATAAAAAAAAAACACGATTAAAAAGCGCCGCTCTTACATTTAAAAAAAAAAAAAACAATGGAAATATTTCTGTTTGGCGCATTGATATGGATCATTCGGGGGTTGAGAGACACAGTTGTAATAGCAGTGCAAGATGACATGTCGATAAACGACTCCAAAAAGGGAACTCATTCTGTCTGTCACGTGAGAAAACCTCGCTTGTTCAAGCATTTCAAATGGTAATAATCTTTAGTTGCAGTAAGTGTTCGTCGTGTGGTGAGTGGTCTGCATCGGAATGGGAGACCATTCAACGTGTTTTGGACAATAGCGCTGCTGCTATTGACATTTTCAAAGTTCATGTTGTATTGCTTATAGTTCCTCAAGTGTTCAAAGATTCAAAGTGTGGTGCAGAATGTTGTTATCGTGAAGATAAACATGTTTCGTTTCGATTAAAAGGCAAAATCGGCAAGAAGGTAAGGTAAAGTTGGGTGAGGCAAAGTTAGGTCAGGTTTCCTTTGGGTAGGTTTGGTAAGGTTTTTACGTGTTTTTTGACCCCATAATTTCCCTCGTACAGTCAAAATTATTAGTAATTGGGGTGGGTCATATTTCCATGACTATTCATTTCCACCAAAAAATAAGTCATTCTTTTAAATCATCACCAATTACTGTAAAAAAGTAAGATTTTTTTTTAAATAATACAGTCTGGCTCAAGCTTTCGTTTTTTAAGTTCGATCATGGAATAAAAGAAAACTATATTTTAATGGCTAACTGCTTTATTATCAAAAACCTATACCATACTAATATTTTAAGCAAAATCTCGACACCAAAAAATGCTCAAGTTAATCTGGGAAATTAATTTAAAAATTTCAAACTCCAGAGACTAGGAACAATTAATTACCAGTAACTTTTTTACCACAGATCCATAATCTGCACGTCGAGGAATACTGTACTTATACTGAGATTTTGAGCAAAATTATTTTTTCAGCCCCCCAAAATTGCCTTGCTCATCATTTTTCCTTCACGTTGTCTATTGCCTTTAATATGTAACATTCTCCTAGTCCTTGAGTCAGTGGGTTTGGTCTTGGGTATTTATCAGTCAAATAGTTCACTTTACTGACTGATTTTAAGAGATTTATCTGCATTCTTGTTTCTCAACGAGCGAGGCCAGTAAATACTTCTTATTTCTTCCGTCATTCTGTTCTAATAACCATTGTAATATTTGAACCTTGGCCTGCTCTTGATATTATAAAGGACAATATCACATAATCATATCGGAGATAAATAGAATTAGAGAGGCTGCCTCTAACCTTTCCAGAGTCATAGGTACAGTGGAGAGTAATTTTCTCTACAAGTAATTACAATACTTTTATTTATTCACGAATAGTTGGTTATATAATAACAACGTCCACTTTTGCTCAAGACATCGGCATTCTAGTGTTTATTAAATTTTCTTCATCTTCAGATCACTAGACCTACCTCGTTAGTCGTTACGTCACCAGCTGGAAATAAAGAATGAGTGAATGCATAAATGAAAAGGCCAAGCTTATAAAACTCTTAAATCCGAAATAAACAAATGGCTGTTGATCCATCGGTGTCAGAATATACCCTGAGCCTGATAATCCGACAGGACAAGGGAAGTGTCATTGATCCGGAAGTCACAGGGAATCATTTTACTCACTTGGCTCATCCCTATAAGGGTTAGGTTAGGTTACTAGTAACTTTGTAGACTAATGGCTAGCAGCATCAATAAACCATGAGGACAAGGTCTCTTCGGTCTAACGAGTTATCTGAACATATTCCCAAACCTGCTGTATGTTGTAGGAATAAGGGTGAATCCTCACACACACACACACACACACACACACACACACACACACACACACACACACACACACACACACACACACACACACATATATATATATATATATATATATATATATATATATATTCTGAACTAGGTTATATACAGGGACGGTCATGTAGAGAAACCTTATAAACTGTTATTGAATAACATCTGTATTAACGCAACTAGTTTAACCATAATATACTCTTATGTGACCTAATATAAGTGAATTATGTCTAAAAATAATTCTTTATGTCGCAGAACAGTTGGTTGTGTTTTAAGACTTAACTGGACGATTATCATTAAAATGGTTGACACAACGTACTGTACATGTCCGTGCGTCCTGTACTACTGCTGTCTTTCACTCCTAGTACTTGTAGCTCGCCAGTGGAATATCCTACCTGCACGTGTTTCTCTTCTCCACGTAACCAAGCACAGAGTTCTATCTTTCACTATATTTGGTCGTTGTTGGACTAATGTATTACTAACCTTGCTGCACGCTTAAAGACCTCCTTTATTGAAGTGCAGTAATAACATAACAACAGTAACTAAACACTGTCCACTTCCCGAGTCCGCAGATTATGTCCTTTCATCTTTAATAACTTTCTCTGTGTATTGCGCGGGATAAGTTTTGTTAGTTTGGGATGGCAAAGCAAATCGTATTTTAATAAAGCTTGATAAAATTTAAGTTGTCCTCACAAATCGAAGACGGTTTAATACCATCTGATAAACAACTTTACTCGCTTTAATGATGAATATGGTTATAGGAGAATTAATGAATCAAATACTGACTTCTACCATGGCCGATTTAGTTAAGAATCTTTAAGTTTTGTCGTTGCGTGATTTTTAGATTAGAAAATTCCAACCCAGGGTGGATTGTGTGGTATGTGCTGACATGCCGTCACGGAGATGTGTGTGAGGACGCTTTGCCGCCTCCTGTGTGTCAAGGACTGCAGGTAAAAGACAGAAAGTCCCGGGCCTTATGACGCACACACACACTTTAGTTGCGACTACATTATTATAATGTGTAAAAAGGAAATTGATTTCTGACACAGTAGTGATAATTGAATAGTAGTGAAGTAGTGAACGACTCTGACAGTTCAGCAGCAATAAATTCATTTGCTGCCAACAGGAAAACTGGAAACTTAAATCATATGAATCGGATCATAATAAATACGTGAGGGATAAAGAAGAAACTTGAAAAAAATGGAATCCTGTGTATACAATGGAAGATGAGTGAGAACGCGGGGTCAGGACTACTTTCTTGGCGGCCTGGTGGAGAACAAATGTTATGTTCGACTTCCTGCCAACATTTAGTTTAAAACTTAGAATTTATTGCAGCGAGAAAACAGCTTTATGGAGCTTACAATCAGCATGAGTAAAAGAGGGCTGGCATTCCCGCGCGCTGGCCGCCAGAGAGGGAATAACCAGCCAAATTTCCAGTAGTGTACACCGAGATTAAACCAGGTAATAATATTCTCTTGAACTCGACCCTCGGTCAGAAATTCTTGAAAGTTTTTCTTCCTGATTTTTTAAAGCCAAGAAAGCTGCAGGCATCACCAGTGTTGCCAATGTCTGGGTAACCATAGTTGGTGCACGATAATTATCTTCACGGTGATGGATTTTGTTGTAAAGCGAATTACGTAAAGGAATAACGTCTCAAAATCTTTCCTCATAATCAGTTATTTCGGCTTTGTGATGACGAAAGATAATATGATTGATGCTGACGGGGGAGATACTGGCGACGGAGTAGCTGACGAAGCGCAGGTTCCTCCCAACATTCCTCACTAATTAACCCGGCCAGCATCACAACTTCATTTCCTCGCAGCCTTGCTTTATTGCAGTCTCGCTCTCTCATCCTCTTCACTTCTCCTCTCTTTGCCTGTCTCTCCGGTAACAAGTCTGTGCTTCCGTTTGTCCAACTGTCTGAAACTTTCTCTGTTGGTGTATTTATATATATCTGTTGCTCTCTTTTAGTCTCTCTATCTCCCCTAACCACCCAACCCTCCCTCCCTGCCTCCACTTTCCCAATTCACTGAGAGCCTTGGTTATGACGTAGTGGAGAAGTGATCAGCTTACTGATTGGCGTGGTCCAGATCAACGCTTAGCTCACTGCAGCGAAACAGAGATTGAGTGAGCATGATAGAGTTGGGTGCTCGTGTGTCCAGTAGTGTGGAGTGAGACGAAATAAGTTACAAGCCTAAGAGAGTCAGCCTGAGTGGGATGTGAAATAACACTTTGTAAGAGGATTTGTGATTCTTGAATAGTCGGCCGACAATTATCGACGAGGCTTTACACGTTTGCATGAGACAAGGCTTTATACGCTCGCATAAGATGAAGCCTTACACGTTCACATAAAGTCGACTTCACGATGTGTTCCCGAAAGCCCTCCATCCCCTGCCACATTATGGATAGGGTCCTTTGTCTCGGATGGAGGTGGGAGGGGGAGAGTGGATGAGCACGGGGTAGCGATGACTGTCATATTTGAAAACTTTCCTCATAACGTTGTTGAAGTTATGGAGCTGACACGAAAAAAAATAACAGGATGGTATTACAACATCATTAACTTGTTTGTATTTAGTTAATTCTTCTAACACACACACACACACACGCACACACACACACACACACACACACACACAAAGACAGCATTACTTCTTATATCCAGCCTATGAGGTGGTTTAGTCTTAAGTCTTATGTATGTTATCTATTATCTGGCAGTAGTGTATCATACAGCCTACGATAGACAGACACACTGACACGAGCGTACCCCCATTACAGCCATACATTCACCGACACACCCTACGGCAGATACAGACAGATATATCTCACTACAGACACACACAGACGCCACCA